GGCCGGGGCAGTCGGCCGCGGCGGCCGCGGTCAGCGCCACGCAGAGCACCAGCGCCAGCCGCTCCATCCCGCGCCGCGGTGCTCCCTGCGGAGGCGGCACACGCAGCCCGTCACCGGCGGGCACCGCGTGCACCGCGCGGGCTGCACCTCGACGGGCTGCGGGCTGCTCCGCGGTGATGCCCGTGGGCACCAGGGCCCCTCGTGCGCCGCTCGGCTCCCTCCCGATGCTGCATCTGCAGCCCGGCGACGGCCGCGCCGCGCGCGTGAGTCACCAGCTCTCCCCCCGCGTGGCCTTGGAGCGGAGACGCGCGGCGCTCCGGAGCGGACACCCGCAAGGAGCCGCCTCCCGGCGCCCAGGGCGGCTCCCGAGCAGCCTCCAGCGCTGTGGCCACGGGGACAGCAGCGGGATTTTGCCTTGGAGCCCTCCGGGGGCCGCGAGGAGGGCCCATCGCTCCTGCAACCAGTGGCCAGAGCTGGTGCCAGAGCCGGAGCCAGTGCCGGAGACGGAGCTGGAGCCAGCGCTGCCCTGGAGGAGCCGGGGAGCACCCAGCACCCAGCGCCGCCGCCCGGGGTGCCGAGCCCTGCCCGAGCGGGGGCTGCGGGGCGGCCGTGACGCGCGCGGGGGATTATCGCTTCCCCCGGCTCTCTCTGCTAATGCACCGTAATTGGCGCTGATGAAGAAACRTTAATGCCGCCGTGTGAATCGCTGCGGCTCCGGAGCGTGATCTGGATTCTGGGCGCCGCAGGGCGCGCGGCACCAGCAGCATCGCCGGGCACCACAGCCCCAGCACCCGCCTTGCTGCTCCCCGGGGATGGTCCCAGCGGATGCCAGGGATAACTGGGACCCCTTCCCCGCACCCGGATATCCCACCGTGCACCCACCTGCTCCAGGTGCAGCGGCCGGTCCCTGCGGAGCTCTGCCGCTCTCCTGCGCACGGGAAGGGCAGGAAAGGCAGTGCGGCGACGCCGACAAGGAAGGAGCCGCAGGAGGCGGCGAGAAGGGGAGCCTCGGAGCAGCGTCACCCGCAGCGGAGGTGGCCGAGCGGGGGCTCCGGCGCCGCCGTCCCGTGGGGCTCCTGGGATGGAGAGCGCGCGGCCGCGTCAGCCCCGGCCTCCCTCGACGGCACCATCCCCGCGGAGCGGCCGCATCCCCAGGCTGGGCCGGGTCTAACGGAGCCCATGGGAACCCGACGGACRTTCCTGATGGGAACACCAGCGGCTCCCAGCGTCTCTCCCAGTGCCCCAAGAGCCACCCGCACCAGGGCGCCACAGCTCCCCRAAGCCCAGCACTCGGAGGATGGACGCTGCCATCCCGGATGCGACCGAGCGCCCCAAGCCGGGAGTGGCAGCGGGTGAGTGGGGCGGCGCGGGGCTCCCCGGGCCCTACCTGTGGCGCAGAGCGGGGCGCCGAGCGGGGCGCGCGCGGGGCCGCCTGGCTGGACGCGCGCCCGTGGGCCCCGCCGCTCTGCCCGCCCGCGCCGCCCGCCGCTTTTATGGGCCGCGAGTCTCCTCCTGCCGCGGGCCCCCCCGGCGCCGCCGGCGCGGAGCCAATCGCGCGCGGGAGGCCGGGACGGAGCAGCCCCGCGGCCGCCCCCGCCGCGGCCCCCGCGCCCCACGGGCCCTGCCGGGACGGGACCCCACGGTACCGGGACCCCATGGCACCAGGACCCCACAGGGCCGGGCCAGGACCCCGTGGCACCAGGACCCCGCGGCACCGGGAGTCCACCGGGCCGGGCCGGGACCCCACAGCACTGGGACCCCACGGCACCAGCACCCACGGCGCACTGCAGCCCGTCCTCCCGCACTGCTGCCCCCCACCCTGCCGCACGGCTGCTCCCATCGGACTCAAGAGGGATGTTTCCCGGCAACCCGGCTCCGGCTGCCCCGGGCCGCCGGCGCTGCCGCGGGGATGGCGGAGCAGGGATGCGSGGGACGGTGCAGGACCCCCCTCAGCACTCGCAGCGCGGAGCAGGGCTCACGGGCACCACGGGGCCGCGGGCATCCGTGCCCACGGGGAAGGGGCCACGCGCTGCCCGCAGCTGCCGGTTCCAGCGGGAACCTCCCGTTCCTGCCTAGGGGCTGCAGGTGGGAGCAGCTGCCCCACAGCCTGGGGGGCCGCCCCCCAGGGCTCCCCTTTGTGCCTGGACCCCATCGGTCCCATGGGAGCCGAGTGCAGCCCCGCGTGCCCGGGAACCGAGCGGCTCTCACCCCAGAGCGTCCCCAGGGCCGGCGGCTTTCCCGGGAATTGCTCCGCAGGGAGGGAATCACAGGATGGGGTGGGAATTGCAGCAGGTGGAGGGCTCTGCGGAGCAGGGAGGGAGTTGCGCCGTGSGGACAGAACTGCACGGGGGCAATCGCGCGGCGCCCTGCGCGCTGCTGCAGCAGCCAGCGGCCGGGGCACGAGCGGCTCCTAACGAGGCTCCCTAACGAGGCTGCGGGGAGGCCGCGTCCCCCGGGGGCTCTCGTTGTTTTCTCCTCGTGCCGCAGGGCCCCCCAGGCGGGCGCAGGGCGGCGCGGGGTCCCAGTGGGGAGGGGGCTCGGGGCAGCCCCCCCGGGACTGCCCGTTCCCAGCGGAGCTGCCCTGAGTCASGCTGACACTTCCCGGCCGCGGCGACGGAGACACGTGCAGCGGGAGCGGGGCCGGCTCCGCCGGGACGGGGGCTGTGCTGCAGACCCCCCCGCCGCCTGGTGACGGTTCCAACCCCCGGTACCCGCTCGCCCAGCCCGGGGGTCCCCAGCAGCACAGGGGTCCCCAGCAGCACGGCTGCACCGTGCACGGACCCCTGTGGGGTCCCGGAGCGCGGGAATGCTGCGGGCAGCAAGCCGGGAATGCCACGGGACGGGCTCCCAAGGGGAGGCTGCGATCCCGCCGCTCGCCGGCTCTCCCGCAGCTCGGCACCGGGAGCGGCGATCCCGCGGGAAGAGCGGCGCGGGGCAGCGCCGTGCGCACGGGCAGGACGGGGCGCCGCCACCGGCACGTGGGGCTGCACGTGCGGGACCCAGGCGGGAGCACAGGAAAAACACCCTGCTCCAAACGGCTCCATCCCGCTCCAAACGGCTCCATCCTCCTCCAGCCGGCTCCATCCTACTGTGTCCTGCTCCATCCTGCTCCAACCAGCTCCATCCCACTGTGTCCCGCTCCATCCTGCTCTGTCCTGCTCCCACTGGCTCCATCCTGCTCTGACTCACTCCATCCATCCCGCTGCATCCCGCTGTGTCCCGCTGCATCCCACTCCACCCAGCTCCGGGCCGCTGCATCCCGGACACGAGTTGCCGCCAGGAGGAGCCGGAGCAGCAGGGCCGGCACTGCCGGTGTCCGGAGCGGGCGGCCGCTCGGGAAGCTCCCTCCCAACGCCGGGAACCCGGGATTTTTCCCAGGCTCCCGCCTGGTTCTGGGCTCTCCCCGTAGCTCRGCCGGGAGGCGGGAGGATCCAGCCCGGCATTCCCGCGGCTTTCGGGGAGCTTTCCCTGGAATGCTCCATGAAACGCGGGTCCGGGTGCGGGACCCCAGCCCCGCGGCAGCGCTTCCAAGGGCTGGAGCTCCCTAGGGATGCCCTGGACCCCCCACCCCCACAAGAGCCTCCATGGGGGCCGCTAGAGACCCCCCCACACCCTAACACCCCCAGGCCCCTGTCCTTGACCACCCCCCCATTGCTCATCCCGGGAGACCCCCCCTTCGCTTGGGCAGCCCCAGGGCACCCCCTTAG